GCGTTCCACTTCACTTTTAGACACACACTTGCTAACTTCCCTAAGCACTTCCCCTTGGGGGAATCCCCGCTGCCATTTTGAAGTCCGTTCCACTTCGTGAAGTGAACGAGAGAAGTTTATATGGACAGACCCTCGACCCCTTGATTTTGACCAAGGGAGCGAGTCTGATTCATATGCACACTTCAGGCCGCTCCATAGACCACAATGCAACACGATTGTGATGTCATCACAGCTCGCATTTAATTTATCCCCACCCCAAACAACTCTATAATATATAAATGATTTTGTTTTAACATTTATAAGAGCCCAAGCATACCTATATACATATAAAATGCTGCACCAAACAAATTCGTAAGCAATTTTTAAACAATAAACCAACTCCATAGCTGATTCTAAGTGATCAAGGGCTTAGGACGTTCCAGTTCAGCCCATTCCAAGTGTTCCGCAGAAGTGAGCGCTTATGCAGCGTAATCAATGACATACATCTGAGTAAACGAGACGGAGGGAAGTTTGCGAGTGAAGGGCATAAAAAATTAACTGGAATGCAGCCCTAGTCACTTGTCTCGACCTACTGGCATATCGTGTAACTTGCAGAAAGAGTTACTAGCTATGTAGGTCTACTTTTCGCATACAGTTTTATGAATGCTGTGAATTCGGACATTCTATTCAGCCTATTATATAGTAGGGAAATAGGCATATTCGGATGCAGGGGCTGTAAAATCCTCACCAATAATGCAGAGACTGAATGTTTGTTTTGAACATGCAAACACAGACAACCAGACTGAAAAGACAGTGAAAAGTCCAAGTCTCCAAGTGTTCCGCAGAAGTGAGCGCTTATGCAGCGTAATCAATGACATACATCTGAGTAAACGAGACGGAGGGAAGTTTGCGAGTGAAGGGCATAAAAAATTAACTGGAACGCAGCCCTAGTCACTTGTCTCGACCTACTGGCATATCGTGTAACTTGCAGAAAGAGTTACTAGCTATGTAGGTCTACTTTTCGCATACAGTTTTATGAATGCTGTGAATTCGGACATTCTATTCAGCCTAGTATATAGTAGGGAAATAGGCATATTCGGATGCAGGGGCTGTAAAATCCTCACCAATAATGCAGAGACTGAATGTTTGTTTTGAACATGCAAACACAGACAACCAGACTGAAAAGACAGTGAAAAGTCCAAGTCTCACTCACTCTCACTCTCACTCTCTCTCTCTCTCTCTCTCTCTCTCTCTCTCTCTCTCTCTCGCGATAGATAGATAGATAGATATGGGTAGAAACAGACACATTCATTATATCTCCTTTTTTCTGTGCATTTAAGGTTTTTGGAAGCCCTGGGGCCAATGGTGGGTTTAATTTCACAAGAAATTGAATCAAAAACCGCCATCATTCGTGACCTGGCCCAAAAAGCGGAGAAAGAGGCAGAGAAAATAGTGAAAGACAGAAAAAGAAAGCCTCAGCCAAGCGACCCATTCTTAATGATATCTCATAACAGATCTTTGAACTACTCTGAAATGAATCACAGACTTTCATTTGGTTACACTTCTATTCGGTCTATGATTAAATGGGAGCTGGAGAATGGTTTGGTGGACTTCCACAAGCAGACAAACTCAGGCTGCAGGACTCTGTTGCGCTTGCATCGTGCTCTGCTCTGGCTGCAAAACTTCCTGCAGGAACTGGGGAAGGATGGAAGTGAAGAAGAGCGTCTACGAAGCCCTTCTGACCTCTGCAAAGAAACTTACCAGCACACACTGGCCCACCATCACAACTGGTGGGTAAGGAAAGCAGCGGAACTGGCCTTTCTTGCTATGCCTGAACGACCTTATTTCTACCAGTTGGTGTGTGTGGAAACGCAGTCAGAAGCTGCTGTGGTGCTGAACAGGGTAGTGAGAGCAATAGAAGAAGTGTATGAGAGAAATGAAGTCGCTCTACAAGAGCACGGCATGCTGGATCTACCCTGAGTGTAGAAAGAGGGAGGAAAAATCACAGGAAATATGAGTGGGACCAGCCTAAAGAACAAGGCACTAAATTATAAGACTAGGCTTTGAACCCTTATGAGAAAAGAATGAAGACACTGCTGGATAAATACAAGGCTTATTTATTCATTCTTACTGATGTACTCAAAGTTTCACTTTCTTAAAGAATTAGTGACCACTTTCATGAGTTAAACTGTTAGTGAAAAAGGTTGGCAAGTAAGAAAAAAATGAAAAAGCAAACATCTCACTATCAAAGATAACAGATTTGTTGTTAAAACAACTAAATATGCTGTATACCATTGGTGCTTGTTGTCTCTTTTCCTGGTATTGGAGAAAGCCATGCATTGATTCTTGTGACGATATTTACAATGCAATGCAATGCAGCAATGCAGACTCAGCAAAAGGGACAGACTAGTCCGAAGTCCTGGTTCAACAGAAGAACTTTTTTACAATCCATATGTTTATCAAAAGCAGTTTTATAACGGTGTGACTGATACCTAATGATTGTTCTGGGGATGTTCTCTTACAGGCACAACTACATTCATTTTGGCATGACAAACTGGATAGCAATGTGTTTACAGAACTCCTTTTACGGAAACCACTCAAGGTGGCTAAAAGTGGCTCTATATGAAGAGCACAGAGGGGTATGGCTAAATTCTAATTTGAAACAATTTTGAACAGTAAATTTGAAAATGTACTGAAATGTATTGTCTAAAACCTTAATAATAATTTTAAAATAGTTATTTTTAATGCTACTACCATAAACTACACAAACATACGCAATTGGGGTAAGAAAGATACAAAGATATAGCTTTTAGATCTTGTATCTTAGGGTACCAGTGACAACTTTTTTGTGGGTGTATTGTATTCATTCAAATGACATATGATATCAAAATGGTTATTGTTATGTCACATATGCATATTATTCCAGGAAACTAAAACTAATGCAAATAAAGCAAGGTTCTCAAATCAGGTGCTCAGGTCGAAATCATGTGCCTGAAAGGGCACCTTAGCGTTAGAGAAACTGGAGAAACCTAACCATTTTTACCTTGAGAACTGAATTCTGGAAATGATAATGCAGATTATGCTGATGAAGAGGAGACAGTGTATTTTTGGTAATTTTATTAAGTTTGTTATTTCAATATATCAGATTATGAACGTGTTTATATAATTAAACTTAACTAGTCAATATAATTTCAGGCTCTCGTTATTCATCAAACATTTGAGCAGTTTGCACAAGGTCCAGTGCTATATAAGCACTGAGCCATATCAAATGAACTGTAGTTTGTTCTGTGATGTTGTTGAGGTGTGGGCTTGCTCTCACAACCCACTCTGTTCAAGCACATCTAAACCACAGCATTTACTGTATATGCTTATTCATATACTTTATATACATTAGGGAAATGACTTGTCACCTTGTTTTCAAAAGCTGTCGAGTTCTGTTGGTTAATATGCTCACAGGAGACTTATTTAAAGCTTTCCATGTATTGTCAATGTTAAATCTGTAGTTTTATGAAACATATGATACATTTTGGCATTTTAAAGGCTACAAAGAGATCCAGACTATTAAAGTGACAATGATTTATTAAATTCTTGGCCTGAATTATTGTGACCTCCTTGTATTTTATAATAAGCACTGCAGAGCTTAAAGGAACACTCCACTATTTTTGAAAATAGGCTCATTTTCCAACTCCCCTAGAGTTAAACAGTTGAGTTTTACCGTTTTCGAATCTATTCAGCCGGTCAGGCTGCAGGCGCAATGATATTGCGCAGCGACTGAAAATAGGCTTATTGAAAGTTACCTAGCTGGGGACTATTTTCCGGCGCTGAGTAATATCATTGCGTGTGCTGCACCCATGGTACGGCAGTAAAGTTCCTTGATTATTACGCCGGAATGAGAGTATAGTTCCTAGCCATATCGGCCTAGAAAATCGCAACTTTTCATTTTCCGTCGGGCTTAGTACACGATGTAACTACAGAAGTCAAGTTTTAAATAGGAAAAATATAGAAACTCTTTGGTCATTTTTGAGCAAGATTGGACATATAACGAGTATTTCTGTGCCAAATACAGTCCTTCAGTTTTGGAAAGTTTTTTTCGAGTATGACCCTGTATGACGTCATAAAGGGCGGAATTCCTTGTATGGGCACTTCTCCCGGACAAGCGCCAGTACGGCAGTAAAGTTCCTTGATTATTACGCCGGAATGAGAGTATAGTTCCTAGCCATATCGGCCTAGAAAATCGCAACTTTTCATTTTCCGTCGGGCTTAGTACACGATGTAACTACAGAAGTCAAGTTTTAAATAAGAAAAATATAGAAACTCTTTGGTCATTTTTGAGCAAGATTGGACATATAACGAGTATTTCTGTGCCAAATACAGTCCTTCAGTTTTGGAAAGTTTTTTTCGAGTATGACCCTGTATGACGTCATAAAGGGCGAAATTCCTTGTATGGGCACTTCTCCCGGACAAGCGCCATTTTATACAGTCTGTGAGAGCGCGCACATCAACCAGAGCAAAATTGGGGTTACTGAAGTCGTCGGCAGCACTGCACAGGACTTGCTTGAGAAGGATTTGTCATTTTGTTTTTAGACCACAAAATCAACAGTGTCATTAAAGAAGTGTGTTTTTGGTTATGAGTGAAAATTAACCAATGTTTAGCTTCCCAAAGAACCCAGTTTGTTTCTCCAGGGCAGCAAGGAGTTGTGCGAATTTGTTTGTTTGTTCCAGGCATTTCGGTGACGAATGTTTTATAAACAAATTAAATAAAATTTAAGTCAATAAACTACGTTTTTGTTCCTGTTTTACTTATGTCAATGTCACCGCTTGCAGACGATCTCAACGCAAAAGCTTTGCGTGCTCGTGACTCTTTAGCTCCGCCCACGGCACGCCTCCAGGAGCTTGACTGTTTTCAGAGAGAATGGTAAAGCTGTATCTGTCTTATATAAATCTGATCAAAACTAAAGACTCTAAAGAGATATGAAGGATGCAGTATATACTCAAAATGAACATGAGATTGGCAGAAACTGTGTGTGTTATGCCCCCTTTAATATACTTCATACATTCTCCAGCGGTTACATGCTTTTTCATAAATGATCAACAAAAATAGAAATATAGGTTCATTGAGAATATAGGATCTTTTCTATATTATATGTGATTTTAAAATACATATAGCCATTCTCATCTATATATTAATTTAAATATACTAATAAATAATACTCTTCATGATCAGCCAATCTAAAGGAAAATACAAATATAGTATGTAACTTTTCTTTATGCACCAAATGGACCCAAAATATAAATATATTGCTTTTCAGAAGATTCATGTATATGGAAACATATGCTAATGCACTAGTTCACCAGTAGAAACAGTCGGTGGCATGGGAGAGGCACAGCACAACTGTTACACTAGGGGCGCTGTTTACAAAACCATTCTCTCAAAACCTGCATGCCCCAAAAACTGAACTTATCATAGATATGTTTTTTTTTTCTCTTTGCCTTCTTGTGCACTCCAGAGTGAACTAGTGTACAGGGTCAAGTTAATGATATGTGATCTGGGGCCTGAGGTGAATGAATATTTAATTCTGTTGATTTGAAGCTTTCTCTGCCGGGTCAGATAACAACCTCACTATGCACAAACATAAAATATGCAATATACAGACACAACACAGACGCACATTTGAAAGTGATCAAATGTGAAGAAGCATTTCGTCACTCAACTAAATATTTTTCAGTAAATGAGATGACACTTAATTTATAGATATATGGATGGATGGATGGATGGATACTTTTGAGGAAATGTAGTAAAGCACCATATCCATTTAGGATTATGTAGTGAGAATAACGGATTAGGGCATTAGAGGAAGTGTACACTTGTCAGTTCTATGACTGAGTGTATACTCTTATATACTGTATGAACTCTCCACAAGACACTTCTCAGAATGGAGCATGAGGTGTAAGCTATATGCTCAGAGAGTGAGTTTAGGTGTTAAACAAAAGAGAAAGAAATGATTTTTTTAAGAGTGATTTAGAAAAATGAGAAATGAGGTGGGTGAACATGTTTTTGTTTGTTTGTTTGTTTTATTGATTTATGCAGGGTAAGGACTGGGATGGATTCACTTCTGTCTTCCTTATCAGCAGAAACATAAGCCTGCTGCTCCTGCTCTTAGAGTCTCTCTATCTCTCTCTATGGTTATGCTTAGAGTCACTTCCAACAAAACCCAAATATATAGATAATTGTGCACAAAGATTAACATAAAAGAAATCAAATCAAATAAAACACACACATGTAGGAATCCACACACACACACACACACATATCAAACACACTTTCTCTATCTAGTTTTCAGAATTTAAACTGAACCCAGGCCTGCTGTCATCCTCTAAGCCGGTGCAAATCAATACAAAACATCATATCCCCTCACCATGTGAGACAAATTGGATTACACATGCCAAAAAGAAAAGTAAAATACTGCAAAGACCTATTTTACATATAAACAAACTTAAATAGACACGCCTCATGATAAATGAAACGTGACACTTCATCATATGAAAGTACAGACTGTTCCGAAACCAACAGGAATGCAGTAATGTGAATGTATCAGTTTTCTTGTGTGTTGGTGAGAAATGCAGAGCTGACGTCATCGTGCACAGCATTATCTACATGTTGGTATATAAAATATCCTTTTCACTTATAAAGCCACAAATCAGACAGAGAAAAGGTTTCAATACCACTCTTCAGAACTGATACACACATGCAAAAATAAAATTTTAATAAATAAAAAATATATATATATATAAATTCCTAGCAGTCAGTCAAGAGATACTTCAAACACACATGAGATCATGCCACATTAATTCATAGACACCTACTTAAATTAATTAATGATACTGAGGGAAGAAAACAGCATAGTTATTAGATACTGATTTTTTTTTATATTCCTTTCCTAATATTGTTTTAATAGAATATATTATTTGCTCTGAATTGCTCTGATAGCTGAGCATGCAATTAAAATTTCAGAAAATAAATACTGTATCTCAACTCATACATGCTAACACACACACACACTGATGTACACACATAAATACACACAAAAACAACCTTGCTAACTCTCTACAACCTCACTACAGTCTCAAATGAAAAAAAAAACATTGAAGTATTACTCTATGCTCTGTCTGTGCTGAGGATTGCTGTGTCTGGCTTATGTCTCTACCTGTGCCTTCTGCGCATAATCATGCACTCTTTTAGATGTGGAGAACCTGTGTGTGTCTGTGTCTGTGTGTAAAAGAAAGGAACACACTTTCGCCTATTTAATCTCTGGAGTTGATCCTCAGTTTGAAGGAAATGCGTCCCGCAAACTTGTCTCGTTCACTGCCCTCTGGAATGTTGTTAGCATTGATTCTGCACTCCACGTTGACGTCCTCATTCATGGTGATGTTGAGGAACTTAATGGCCACTAAAGGCTGAGAGTAGTTCACCTGCAGCAGAAGAAGAGTGAGATACTGTAGGAAGATTTTGTAAGAACAAGGCTGTTTTATTAAAGGTGGCCTAATAAAAGCTGTTTTACATTATTGGAGACTTTGTTTACTACATTTCTACAATGGTAACGGTCAACTTTTTCTCTCCCTTTTCTGTGATGCCACATCCACACCATTAGGTGTCAGTATCAGCTGAGTATCATATGAGCACAACATAAAATACTGATTGCACCTTTAAAGTCAGCATGAAACGTAAAATGAGAGGGTCTTTTCTTCCATATTGTGGCATACATCTGAGTGAAACAGATTATTGGAAAAGAAAAAAAGTAGGATGGGGACGGGTTCTATCCATCAGTTGTTGATTGGATGGAGGCAGATCTGAATGCAGTCGACACGTCACCAGAGAGAAGTCTGCCATTTCAGCAGAAGATCCACTTATGACATTTTTATTAATAATTAAAATAAAAAAAATAAAAAAACATATATATATTTATTTTCTTCTTCTTTCAATTATGCATAGATAATCACAATAAGATCAATAACATGCATTTACAAAACAGATGGGCAAAATGGTCGATTTTCATTTCGCTCCGACTTATATTGTATGTGTGATTACATATGTACAGTATATTCTCTAAGTATGTGTGTGTTGTACCTGGGCTTTCTTGCCATAGTATGGGTAGTACATAAGGTTGAAGGTGCCATTAGGGGGAAAGTACACCAGTTCACCAAGTTTATCTGAATCATCCGCCTACAGAGGGAGGAAGAGTTTATGAGTTCATCTCAGCATTTAATCTGAGGGTATCAACCTGTTCTAATACCAAAAACTACTATTATTGAATTAAAGAAAATAAACAGAAAAACCATTCACTCTGTGAGATGATCTTATGCTGGAATTATCTAGCATATGATCTGACTGTATGAATAATCATTTTACCCTTCTAAAACATGTTGATTTTAAAAGTTAATAAATTTAAAAAATAATAGGTAAGTTTTTATACATTTTCCAATTTTTCTCTCACTGCAGAATGTCAAAGCTGTAATGCACATTATGAATTTTCTGCCTCTGTTAAAATGATTATTCTTCATTCTGTCTATTATTCTTACCCACTCATCAGTGCCAACTTTGTATTTCTGACAAGAAGAATGGAGGGGGAGAACAGATGAGACACACACACACACACACACACACAAAACAATACAAATCAACCACATGGAACATAAACCGAGATGATGAGCAATGGTGTAAAACAATACAGATTGAACAAAACCTGAAACGACACTGAAAACAATTATATGACAACAGTACAGAACAAAGGAGGAGGAATGATGGGTTCATGATGAGAAAGAGCAAAATATATTGACAGGGAGTGTGATGTTTAAAACAATTGGTGTGTACATTGCAATCGAAGTTAGAATTTGGACTGAGGAATGTATTTGCATGAGCTTGAATGGCGGTTGATATCCATTCAGAACCCACACAAACATACTTGATTCGGAGGGCACACACTATTGAGAAATCTCTAGGAAAGAGCAAGAAAAGCTTCTGTTCTAATGCAACATAGATCAAAGTTTGCTTAGTGTGGGGTAACTAACCTACAGTATGAGAATACAAACAAGCAACAGTGTTATTGTTAACTGAAACTATTAAAATATGTTTTGTTAATTGAAATAAATCTGAAATTATCAATATTAGATGAAAAACTTAAATAAAACTGAGAAATGTTGCCTTGACAACTAACATAAAAGTACTAAACTTTAAAGTACTAAAATGACTAAAAAACATAAATAAAAATTAAAGATACATAGAAATATTTTGAACTAATAAGCTATAACAGTTTTAACACCCGATTCACAAACGGCCAATTAATATCTGCTAAAATAAATGAGACGCTAATAGCTCAGACATTCTCATGGAATATCGAAACAGTTGAGACTGAACCTTGCATGACTGAAAGATCATTCCTGAAATACATAATTGTTACTTTAATGGTTCTCATTTCTCTCTGTTTATTTTTGCATGTGAATCAGCAGCAGATAGTCAGTCATGGCAGTTTTTCTCTGAAGCCGGCCACAGTTCTGATTACCGGCTAATTTAATCTGGTGACCTTGTTGAATAGCTCATGTAACTTTAATCTGAAATCAAGCCCTTTCTAAAAGACTGAAGGATAAGGAGAGTGAGAGTGTGGAAGACTGAGACACTTACCTTAGCACCACATGTGACATAAGGAGGCTGCCCGTCCCTAGCAGGCAACAGACCAATCACCTGCAAAAAAGAATAAACGCAGAGAAAGAAGGATTTGAGATTGAAATGAGAGGGTGAGAAAAAGAAAGCGACCCAAAGATGGAAACAAAGGGGAAGAGACAGGTCAAGTTGGGTCTCATTAGAATGCTAAAGTAACTCTGATGAATTTTTAATTAGAAACATTCAGGCCGCTGTCTCTGATTCTGTGGTTTCAGGTCAAAGACTTCACTGAATGTTAAAGACTGTGGGGATTCAATGACCAAAAATCAAACTATTTGCAAAATAAAATGCATCAATTAGATGTTCCAAAGAATTCTGTCAGGGTTTCTCAGGAATACTTGATTCTGATTGGTCAACGGCAGGATTGAGCGGTTCAATATTTTTGAGCAATAATTGTTCAACTGTAATTTGACCATTGTTTTTTTTTGTTGATATTATTGGACATGTTTCTGACACAAACATTCGCTCCACACATATATTCTATTTCACGTCTTACACGGTTGAGCTTGATGAAGATGCAGGGCTTGCCCTCATCGTAACCATAGTAACGATCTGTGATCCCAGAGCAATCCTCCAATATGGAGCGTTTGAACTGGCAGGAACGCTTGGGGAAGTTTTTCAAACTGCCACTGTCCTCCTGGATGAAGTACTGATCCGGTTTACACTCATAATTCTTCTGGGCTTGGACTGAGTCATTGTAGGCTGCATACAAGAAGCAACAGGACATGACCTTCTGTGAATGTCTTGCTAAATGGCATGCAGAATTTCAATAGCAAAATGACTGCAGCAGGTTCTGTGTAAATATGGTTGTTTGCATGGTATTTACGCGACAGGAAGTTATTGAGGGCTTGGACATATCTTTCCCATGTCTCTGTGTACTCCATGGTGTAAACGATCTCCAGCTGCTCTCCTTTAGGTCTGATCATCATCCCTGCAAAACAACAAATAAGAGAATGGGAAGACACAGAGTCTGCGAGTGTGTGTTTACATTCATTTTGCATTTAGTATGTTTGTGAGTATCAAAAATTATAATAAATAGCACAAACACTGCAATATAAGTAAATTACAATTAATAAATGTCAAAAGGTGTCTGTAAGGGGTAACATTAGAGTGTAGTTGTTATAATTAGCTTAATTTGAGAACAATGTTTCCATATGTACAGGATCAAGTCTGTGTATTACCTGGAGTTGAAAGTCTATCTTGGTATGTTGGTCTGTGGTCATCGAGTGTCTGCAGCATTACGTACATGGTGAGAGCAAATAATCCAGCCAGGAAAATGTAGAATGCCAGATAAAACAACAGGATCAGACCTACAAGGACACACACATTCAAATCCAAACTCAATATAAACTTTCCATTCTGTACTATGTCACTGGAACTCTGTTCATACTTAGCATTGAAATATAATTTTTTTTTATATAATTCTTTTTCATATCAATTTACAATGCATATTAATTAAAATTAATTAATACAGTTGCATGCAGCAATTAATGGCATTTAAGCCCCATAAACCCATATTTTTCATGACATTAAGCATTTTAGATGACAGATGGGACAAAATGTCGACTGGACTAATGGTACAACAGTTCAATTTTTTGCCACCAAGTGGCCAAGTCCCTGCAAATTTGTATTAAGCCCTTACATATATGTGACCCTGGACCACAAAACCAGTCTTAAGTCACTTGGATATATTTTTAGCAATAGCTCAAAAAACATTGTATGGCTCAAAATTATCATTAAGGATATTAATCATTAGGATATTAAGTAAAGATCAAGTTCCATGAAGATATTTTGTAAATTTCCTACTGTAAATATATCAAAACTTAATTTTTGATTAGTAATATGCATTGCTAAGAACTTCATTTGGACAACTTTAAAGGCGATTTTCTCAGTATTTTGATTTTTTTGCACTCTCAGATTCCAGATTTTCAAATAGTTGTGTCTCGGTCAAATATTGTCCTATCCTAACAAACCATACATCAATGGAAAGCTTATTTATTCAGCTTTCACATGATGCAAAATCGATTATGACTGGTTTTGTGTTCCAGGGTCACATATGTACCAAAGTTTAAGTGATAAAAATTAATAAAAGTCTAGTTCACAAAAGTATGCTTTTATTCTTGATATAAATTAAATTAGAGATATACATTTGTGTATCTAGACCCAATGACTCTGAAATGGCACTTGTGTCTGTAACATACTGTTCAGGTGTTATAAAACAAAACATGATTTCCTTCAATGTAGCTCCTGCTACACTTTATGTACTTTAATAAAAACACATGTGTTGGGAGCATTTGCAATAGGACATGCAGAATACTGTGACCATATAACTATTTATGACTATATCTTTTGCACTCTTTCACTCTCTCTTTCTCTATCTTCTGCTGATGTAACCGTGAAAAGATACAAGACTAGTAGGCCTAATCCTCTTAAATTCTCACCAGAGCTTCTCTCCTCATTCATACATTTATACATACACACTGACTGCAGCTCTGTATTACACACATTCATACTTTTACACACCAATGTCCCTTACAGGAAGTCTGGTAATCCTGTCTGGTAAATGTCTGGTCTTTGGCAAAATTGAATTACTGCAGGGCAGATGTGGGTTAAGAGGGGTAAAAAAGGGGAGGGAGGGTGACAGAAGGAGAAGAAGAGGGCAGATTAAGTCAAAGGGGAATTTACAGGGAATATATGGTTTAGAAACACCAGAGTAGCCTATGTCCCTACAGACATTCATGCAGACACCCCCAACTACTCAACTAAACCAATCATTATACTCTAGATTATTATGTCTACACAAAGAGATCTCTATACAGACTGCAGCACTAGCATAAAAGGTTGATATTTAGCATACTTAGAAGAATGACAGAATGATGCCAGGCTTTTATTTATATAATGTCAGTACAGTAATATGGTATATATAATGTGGTACAGTATGGTTATAGAAGAGCCAGTCTGAAAAGTCTAACGTTAATGATGTTAATGTACTGATTGGTAATTTCCAGCACAATATTTTTTCCCTCAGATTTTCTCAGATAGACAGAAGATAAACAAACCTAGAAACTCTACTTAGGCAGTTAACATGCTGGTTTTTCAGTGTCAAGATTTTAAACTGTAAATATACTGTAGACTGTATCAGGTCAAATTTATATTGTAGCTGCTGTAACTGGTTTTTACCGTTTTAAACACCTTTTAGCTTTTCACAATACACTTAAACAGTATGCATATTAAATATACATTAGAAAAGAATTTATAAAATTATTATAATAAGAAGAAAGATTAGCATTCAAAATGCTTCTGAAAGAAGACTTTTATGCTCAAAAGAGCGCATTAATTTGATCAGAATACAGTAAAAATATTGTAATATTTATAGTAATAGAGTAAAATATTATTACATTTAAAATGACTGTTTTCTATGTCAACTTCTAACGATTTCTGAAGGACCATGTGACACTGAAGACTGGAATAATGGCTGCTGAAAATTCAGCTTTGCCACCACAGGAATAAATTACACTGTAAATAAATTAATATGCTGATTTGAAGAAACATCTCTCATTAATGTTGTGCTGTTGAAGATTTTTGTGGAAAGCATGATAACCACAATTCTTTGATGAACATAAAGTTCAAAAGAACAGTATTTATTTGAAATAAAAAAAATTGTAACATAAATGTCTTTATTTTCACCTTTGATCAGTTTAATGCATCCTTGCTAAATAAAAAAAGTATTAATTTCTTTAAAAATAATTTTACTAACTCCAAACTTTCGAACATTAGTGTACATATAGAATTTATATTATATATTAGAAAAATATTGCTTTAAATCATAGGCTAGCATGCAGGACATTGCTGGACTTACACTCCCTAAAATGTCATGTTAATTACATGAATGCTCTCAGGTAAAAAGCAAAGATTCAGTAACTCATCCATTTGCCCCTGTAATAAGAATGCACTTCAAAACATCTTCCCCAACACGATACATAATTTAGGATTGCTATTTTGAACAGATCAGTCGCTATTGTTTCATAGAGAAAACTGAGTGCTGAATGTGTATGCCTGAGGAGAGCTCATTAAGATACAGGACACCTGAGCTTCATGCAGCGAGGCCCCTGGTGACAGTCGATCAGGTTGCTCCGGACTGAAGGGAGGAGGGATACCGGATCTCTGCCCCCTGCTCTGCTGCATCCTGGAGCTCCCCGCAGAGACAGGCTTTCACTGATCAATAACAGCAGTGCAATGTGAGGTTACTCTACAGGCTAGAATTACACAGGAGTGTGTGCTAATATGCTTGGAGACTGGAGAGAGTGAAAAAGGATGCAATGCATGCGTAAGAGAGAAAGTGAGCAAATATAAGGTAAGAATGTTGCTTAACTTGTGCAGCAAAGCCCAAATGTTCAAATCATTAAGCACTACTTAATTTCACAGCAGGGCAGCTTCAAAATAAGCACAGTCTCTCTCAGAATACCAAGTACCTGCATTATCAAACATTATTTGCTGAACTTGGTTATGGGGTTAAAACGTGGTACATCCTAATCAGCTGTGCTAGCTCTCCTCGGGATGTGTGTGTGTGTGTGTGTGTGGCGAACACTGCACATGGTGAGACTGATACTCTATCTGTGCTCTTCTGTTCCTTTATCTGTCTTTCATCATGATGAATGTCACCCTCCCTCTTTCAACCCTCTAATTTAAACGCAACCTGAAAGAGAGGAGCAGAATGTGCCACTGTGATCTGCTATTTGCATGTTCACATTCATTAATACAGACATGAACTCCACAGGCAATCACTTTAGATCTCCACACATCCTGTCCTAAATCCATCAAACCTACCAGGCCACCATACTATCAAACACTTCAGAGGAACTCATACCTGTGATGTAGACAAAGGGAGCAGTCTGTCCACTGTTATCTCTGAATATCAATTTCCTGTTTTGTACTGGGTGCACATAAATATAGCCACAGCCCATAACTATATACTTATTTCTTATTACTCACAGTCATTCATGGCTTAACTGAAACCCATGCTTTCAGAAGACTTCATATAAATATTACTGTAATATTGTTGCAGTGTTTACAATGCCAATTGTTTAGTACCTTGGAAATGAATTTCATAGTGGAAGGATAAAAAGTAAAATTAACTAATAATTTCAGTTCAAGCCAATATTTAATGTCCACATATTTATTTATGAGGCATGCAGCTGTATAGTAAATGGGACAATATACATTTGAACAAGAATTCTGTGACTAAATACAACAAGAGGATCTTAAAATCCAGTATATCGCCCAGCTAGAACCAAGTTTCCCAAGCGGGATTTGAGAGCTGCTGAAAAAATCATAAAAATCGATAGATTTCTTTTATTTGTATCATTTACTTATTTGATTGGGATTTATTTTAAAAATTAAATTTAGTTTTGTTATTTGACATATTTTTATTTAATTTTACGTATTTTAATTTCACAAAGAAAAGTGCAGCATTTTGGGAAATATAAAAAGGACAACTTTTTCATTTATATTTGTCTTAAATCTCATTTTGTAAAAAAAATCGTTAGAAAATTGTATCATGAAATCAGTATCATCAATATCGCATTATGAGTTGAGTGAATCTTTACATTCCTAAGATTATATATTTTATTTGTTTACTTGCATGTCATGTCACCAACATCAGAAAACAGTGAACATGCAAATATGTTGTTAAATTGAAAAATTGACTTAAAATCTCATGGAGTACTTCATATAAACACTTTATGTCAAAGGGCTGAAAAAAAAAGTTTGGGAATCTTCTGAAGAGGGGATGCCACACAGTGGTAAACATGGCCTTGTCCCAACTTTTTTGAGATGTGTTGATGCCATGAAATTTAAAATCAACTTATTTTTCCCTTGCAATGATACATTTTCTCAGTTTAAACATTTGATATGTCATCTGTTGTATTCTGAATAAAATATTGAAATTTGAAACTTCCACATCACATTCTGTTTTTATTCACAATTTGTACAGTGTCCCAACTTTTTTGGAATCTGGTTTGTAGAATGTCCAGAATTTTTCTAGGTGGTCCATTTACAGGAAGCCTTGTATTTCTTTGAACGGAGTATTAAGATCTTCTGCAGTATGAGTTATAAATCTCAGGAGTGGTTTAGAGATTAAATTCTGGCCTGTGCAAGAGTGATGTTTAACAACAAGATTGAACAGTCTCTATATGACTCTCCAGAGGGCTGACGTCAGATCAGCTTGAAGTGCTTTTATCTGATATTATTGGCCCCTCTGTGCCCAGGGGTCCTGAAAGCAACCCTGGATATGTTTCGATAAGAGACACAGCTGTATGAATGCAGCTGCAGCTTTCACCGTCCTCCATAGGTCACTATAAAGCTCCAGTAATGAGGATGTACTTTGTTAAAGAATCTAAGCATACCCAGGTTCACTCTGGTTTGGGCACAGACAAAAATAGACTAATTAAGGAGTCTTAGAGAGCACGCTGGCTTAACTAGGCAGCTAGTCCTCAGAGCATCACACACACACACACACATTCTCAATGAGGTGATACACACTTAGCTCCCTAGAGCAAAATGTGCTGGTACATGGAAGTCTTGAGGGCCGTGATCTAGCATTTCTCTCTCTCTCTCTCTCCCTCTTTCTCTCTCTCTCTCTCTGTCACACACATACACACACACACGCACACTCTCTCTCTCTGTCTAACTATTCCATAGCATTGACAGCTGAGTGCAGTTTTAATGCCATCACACCCTGATTAAAAGACACATTCAGTTCCACAATTAATCTACGGCTATTGAAAAGGATACATCTTCCACATAATAGCCTCACCAAGGCAACCAATGAGCCTATTAGTAAAGGATTACATCTTACACTAATTCACAAACCCCCTCGCGCACACTCAAAATGGCCCTCGGCTAGATTAAATCATCTCAATGTCACTGCAAAAGACAATTTGTAACACTATGCACTGGGCTAAAGGTGTTTTGTTGTTCAATTCTACTGTTAGAAAGATCTTTCACAATTATAAAGGCAGATTTCTTTGGGGTTTAAACAGGTTAAACCAAATGGCAGAATGTAAAAATGTTCACTGCACTGTATAAAAAGAAAGGCAACTGATGTTGTTACAAACAACAAGTGATGGCATTTCGGTGACTTTATTGGGTTTTGTTTTTTTTGACAGTTCCTAGATGTTATTCAATGATATGTTAATATATCAACCTATTTGGACTATTAAAATAAGTTTGCTGTGATAAAATGGACAGATAACGATACACAGATGGCACACTGGGGCTTATAGCAGATCAAAATTGGCCTCTAGCAGCTGTCGGGGTAGCTCAGGGTAACACACATGACACTTAATTATTTTGAGCAAGGAAATTTTAGAATGCCCCTTTCCCCAGTAATTAAAAAAAGCAATTCATTATATTAACAAAAACATAAGTATTTTTACAACTATATTTTACAACACATTGTTAATCTTTAAAATAACATCAATACAATAATTCATTCGTTGTACTTCTTAAAACATTTTAACATTTCACAGAAAAATACAATTCTACTTTTTTACCGTATAATAAGGTATAAACATATATTTACTGCAGCACTTCTACATTCTTTTGCAGTTAAAATAATTGCTGTTCTTTACAGAAAGTGGTGCAGGGAATACTGATGTGTGCAAGCCTCTATTCAGACATTCTGCTTGAAGCGCATTGTGTCGACGCATCACATTTCTCCACACAATAATCAGTGAGAACCTGATTACCTGGATCTGTCAGTAGACCTCAAAATTCGCAATTTGCTCAAGATAAACACATTCTAAGGTTAATGTATTAAGTTTTAAAGCTTCGTAAACACGCGGCAAAGAAAAGGAAACGCATGTGACGCATACAGCCCGGTGGCAAAAGCACTAACGAGTTTCAGCACCTAGGACAGCGACCCGCCTCTTCAGTGAACTTCTCTGCACTAATAGAGTGAGACTCGCTGTGATAACGACTGCACCTCACTACTTATTATAACTGCACAATTTTGCGACACACTAATTAGCATTTGTGCATGCGTGTAATCTTGTCGATTGTGTGCAAGACTTACCCCAACTGCTCGCGGTCCTACCGCAGAATTCTCGAGTCCTCGGGTTCCAGAAGAACTCCTTCCATGCGTTCTTCTTATCATCCTTTGCCATTTTCCTGAACGAAATAAATGTGCACTCACAGAGTCAACGCCTCGGGGCTAGCACTCTCTTTGAGAGTAATAAACAGCTATTCAACCCTTGAATGGTGTGGAGAAAGGGTTAAAACGATCTTTAAGGTCTCAATAGAAAGCTTTTTTAAATAATAACAAGGCACTCTGCCGAAACCTGAGGACTTAAGCCAGGACTGAATGAGAGCAGACCTCGCTCTCTCTGTAACGCCCGGCGTTCTGCCCACCCACAATTGCAGTGCGCATTCCGCAGAGAGAGAGAGAGAGAGAGAGAGAGAGAGAGAGAGAGAGAGAGGGGGCCGGGGGAGAGAGAGAGAGAGAGAGAGAGAGAGAGAGAGAGAGAGAGAGAGAGCGCGCACTAATGTGCCGATACTGCAGTGGAACAAGCTCTGCCTGCTGAATGAATGCAATCTTTTAGTTCAAACAGCTCTAAATTAAAATGAATTTATTTAAATGGTATTTGCTATCTTCCCTGCAAGCACGGGGGCATTAATAGTTAATATGGCTATATTGTCAATGTTATTGATTACTTTCATAACTTGTGTTATGATGTCAGGAATCACTTAATATAGATTACATTTTTTAAATGATAGCACATTAACGGCAACTTGACATTTTATGTTCAGTCACTTTAAATAATTCGATTTAATTGATTTAATTATGCTCAGTATTTAACTATTAATTAAATGTTTAAAACATTAAGAAAATTCTACTTTTTTAAAAAGTTCTACAAACATTCTGATTTGACAGTGCAGAATTAAGCTTATTAAGGAAAACAATAATATAAAACCACTGACAAGAGCCCAAGCAATCTTTTTATCTAAATAACCATATACTTTATATTTCTGATGCTCTGGACAGCAAACAATTAAGCATAAATTCAGCACTTCAGAAGTCCGGCTGTTAAAGAGCCTAACTTCTTAAACTTCCACTCAGCACTCGAATAATCTGTAGATGTTTCAGTGACTGGCAGTACTTGATAAATCTGTCACATCACAATAGTCAAATAACATCTGTAATGATGTTCAAGTCCGATGCAGGTCAGAGCCAACACTAGCCTATACAAAGGACATGCAGAAAGAGAGAATTTGTACAGGAGCTGCATCTATGACACAGGACATCAGTGAATAACAAATCAGTCAACAGACAGTTTTTACAGCACCCTGTGTTCATGATGCTGACACATGAGCAAGAAACAACTGCCCACAGTGAAACTGGATACTGAAATAACAAGCCTAGAAGGTCAGGATGAAAAGAATAGTTTACCCAAAAATGTGGATAACTTGTGAATTATTGGATTACACTTGGGTTAATTGTGGATTATTGGGATGTTTTTATCAGCTGTTTGGACTCTCATTCTGACGGCACCCATTTACTGCAAAGGATCCATTGGTGAAAAAGTGATGTAATCCTACATTTTCTAAATCTGTTCCGATGAAGACACAAATTCATCTACACCTTGGATGGCCTGAGTGAGTAGATTTTTAGCAATTTTTCATTTTTCGGTGAACTTTTGCTTGAAGAGAAAGGGAATGAATAAAACTACCACATTAGAATGTGAAAGCAGATGACTGTATGTTAAGCAGACTGCAGGACAAGAAGACATTAAATCCATGTGCATTTGCAACAGATTCTTTCAATTCCCTCACACACACACACACACTGTTATTCGCACGTGATATTCATTTCATCATATAAAATTTATTTCATGACGATATCAATGCAAATATAGCACTACAGTGATTTCCAAGGTACACCGTATCTTACCATACCAATATATTATGGCACTCATAATATGGCCACCGTTTATGTAGACACGCAAAGCCAACAGTTTCTGTAAACTAGTTTACCCAATAATACTTAAGTTACCCTTTTCATCTTAATAAATTGCCACTAGATGATTATTTAGTATATCTGAAGTACAAACTGGGCACAATTTATATAGACTGGGACGCAGCCCAACCTTGAACTGAATGATTAAGGGAATCCATCAAGAACTCCCAGCATGCATTGCACCAGCCCTCCTCTACTGTGGTCCCCCGTACTGTTTGATAAAGACTGTATTTCAAATGGCCACCCGGTTAGTGCAGTGAAACCCTGGTGTCATGGTGACAACATGTCAAACCCTTGGCAACATCACTGCAATGTTGCCAGGGTGAGAACTGTACAGGTTGGTGGTGCTAACTATTCGGAAAAATAACAGCAACTTTTAAATACAACCACAACAATAACAACTGAGAAACATTCAATTGCCAACAGTTACAAAAGGTTCCACTCCTAAAAACTCCATCACATGATCTCAAAAAAATCTAAGAGCACTCAAAAGAATGAAGAAGAAAAATAAAGCAACAGCAGTGAGGGATATGTAAGCAGTAGTAGAAATTCAATATAGCAGCAGAAGATATCCAAAAATATCCAAGTGATATTCATGTTGGTGAGGGTATGAATGTGATCAGACTTAAGTTGCTTAAAGGGACTTGCATGACACTAGCCAGAAAAAAGATTGGTTGGTTGGTGTGTGTGTGTGTGTGTGTGTGTCTGAGACTGTGCCTTTATTAGAGAGGGCTCGTCTTTCAGTGGTCCATTCAGTACAGTGTAGACAGGTAGCCACAGATAAAACTACTAAATTTCTTTATAAAACAATTAAACACCTTGTACTTTTATACATTATATGCTACAATATATTTATTGATTACAAGTATGAAAGTGGAAATAATTGCTACATAATCAATACAGTTGTACATGTTTATTTTACAGATTTAACACTTGTTTTTTTTCTTCTTCTCGTTTAATCTCGATGTCATGTGGTTCGCTTTCTTTTGAGCGGAAAGTTCCAGCAATCGGTCTGAGGAGTGCCACGTGTTCATTTTTCCCAACAGGGCACTGCGAGAGTGTGTGCGTTTCTGTATGTGCATGTGCGCACGAGGGTTGGACAGTGTGAAGAGGTGAAGTTTACTCCAAAACTGATTTTTCTTCAAGGGACAGGGTAACTGGACTGCTTAATATGACTGTAGTATGATAAGACTGACAAAGAGCTTGCATATATGTTATGATATCTTATTGAACGCCATTGCAACCCCAATTGATTGACACATGAGACTGTGCTGCCAAAAAGACTGAAAAATACAGTTAGACGTTAGCTCCGGATATGCTCAGATACAGGTTAAATGTAAACAGATGCTTAAATATGGTGGTCTGACAGTTTGTAGGTGAACACAATGACACCTCGTGTTAACACAGCCCGTGCATTGGTCCTCACTCTATTTCCTATCGTGCTCATCCTGTGATCTTACTATTTTGATCAAGTGAATTTTACACATTTGATTTGCCCTTATGATAATGCGATGCAGATCTGTGTTTTTTCTCCATCATGTTTTTGTATTGGACTGGGCTAACAATCAGTCTCCTGCTTTAACAAATATTGCTACAAAAGTCAACTTCTGCTGTTCTGCTGAACAGCTTTTCTTCTACTCCCCAAATAGGCAGACACATGTGTCACGACACTCAGCAAATTGGCACTCAATCAATAGGCAGTAATTAGACTTCAAAAATAATCTCCTCTACAAACTACGACAGTACCACACAGCCCTTCATCATCGTTTCCTGTGTCTGAATGTGTAAGATTTTTTTTGTGTATACATGTCGAATTTTGTGTTTTATTGACTCGTTCCCCTGTACTCCTCACCATATTGTCTGGATTTCCTCTCATCTCTGTTTTGCTTCCAATCTCACACGTCTCCAATGCAAAGATACATCTTACAAAGTTCACCATAACACCACACACACACGCGCACACACACATGCACGCACGCACACACACACACACACACATTCTGACACTCTTCTGGAATGTAAAAAAAAACATCAGTCTAGTGGGTGCCCAGGAAACAGCAGCATAACGGAGTAAATCTGGTCAGTAAAAACACACAAGCCCAAAGTCACAGACAGTTTATGATATGATGAAAAGCTCCACTATGATCTTTCAGCGTCTCTTCATTCTTTATACATCAAGTTTTGATCATTTCTTCATTCCTTGGAGGAAAAAGAATGTCTATTCTCCTCACTAATGGTTTATATTCAGAGTATGAATGTCACGTTGCTCCAAAGGTTTCCAGTTTGTTTCAAAAAGGTTGTAAACTCAGCAGCACAGGTTATATTCGCAGCAGGTCAGAGAGAGTTCAGACTCGGGTGGCTCTCCAGGGTGTATGTGTGTGTTTCATCTGCTGCATCTGTATGGCACATAAACATTGTGTGCAACACATTTTCTCCTGCTTCTACAGAGAGATTTATTCTAAATCATGCTATTCTCTGAGCAAAATGCTCTCGCTTTGTCTTTCCAGTCTTATTTTAATCTCTTCACTCAAAGGCCACTTCTCTCATTTACCATAAATTTTCATTTTGTCTTTTCACACGCAAAAGAGAGAAAAAAAGAAAAGATTGTTACTCCATCTGTCTCTCTCAGTCATGCCTTTCATATTCCATACACACTGTTTGCTGCTCTCTGCCTCGGTCAGATGGCCGTGTCCCACACCACAGCCTGTGGCCTCTGGCAGGGCGGTGTTCCAGTCTTGCGGGGCTCCGGCGTTTTCCTCCAGCTAGGTAAAATAGGCATACTGTCCTGCTTACATAAGCTCTTATCCGGCCGACGATGAGCCTTAATCTCCTTACACAGGCAGCGCTTTCTCTCGATCACCTCCAGGAGCTTGCCGTCACGCTGGGCCAAGGCCGTGCTGAGGGGAGCCTGGGCCTGCGCGGCGAGCTGAGCCAGCTGTTGGAACTGGAGCTGGACTTGCTGCTGGTACAGCTGCTGTCGGCTCAAAGACGGACTGCAGGGAGCTTGAGAATGAGTCTGAGCCTGCGAGAGAACGTGGAACTACACACAGAGATAGAGAGAGAAAAATTGTAGAAATTATTTTAGAGTTTAGATAGTACAGAGCAGATGAAATGCAGTAGTTAGCCATGTGATTGTTTGCTTTGGAACAAGGTATAAAAGTTTGGCTGGTTTGCATGGTAATTAGCCTCTGCTGGTAGATGCAGTAACTACACTATCTGGCTGCAAGTAAGAGATGCATTGAGGGCCATCAGTGCTATTTTAGTATTTTTTATATTCAATTATAATATGTGACCAAAACCAGTCTTAAGTCGCTTGGATATATTTTTAGCAATAGCCAAAAAAACATTGTATGGGTCAAAATTATCGACATTTCTTTTATGCCAAAAATCATTAGGATATTAAGT